AATAAATAATAATAATAATTAATTCTTAACTTTTTGATATATATAATAATATAATACATACAGTTTTTTTTAGCCGCCTCGACTGTTTTTTGCAAGGATGATTTATCCCGATAAAAATCAGATACATTAGTTCTTTCATATGTATGAGCAGAGCTCCATTAACTTCGATCAAATTCACTTGCTCTATTTTTAAATACCAGTCTGTATAAAACATTAACATTATAAATATATAGCTAATATGCAGTAAATATAACTTACTTTTGAATAGCCACCAATAAAGATAATCCGTAACCATTTCTGTTAATATTTGCGTAGGCTAATTTTCTTGCATTTGTTGTAAATGGTGTATTGGCCCAAATAGTTGGTGATATTTTAGTGAATGCTGGTGACAAACTTGCAAGTACCCACGGTTGTCTCTTATCCTAAATCCAGTTTAAAATAAAATAAATAAAATAACTTAATAAATTTATATGATTTAATTATTATATATTGATATAATTATAAAATATATATAGAATAAATTAGTCAAGCAACCCAAATTCAACAAGTCGATCAAAAAAAGGCTAAAGCTAGACCAGTATTAAGCAATAATACTAGCCAACTATATTATAGCCAAATTAGCATTTGGACAATTTTTTATCTGAAAATCTGGAATAGATTAGTGGATCCACCAAAATTCAGCAAATCGGCCCGAATTTAGGGTCAGATGAGCCGGAGCAAAGTGGTATTAAGCAATAATACTGGTTGACTATATTATAACAAAATTATCATTTGGGCAGCTTTACTTAGTATATAGGCTACCACTTTATTAGTAAAATTGTGGGTGATTTTAGAAAAAATTTATTAATTCTGGCTAATTCCGACCAAAATTCGGGCCGATTTGCTGAATTTTGGTGGATCCTCTAATTTACTTATCTGGTACACAGGCCATCACTTTATTAGTAAAATTTTAAGAAATTCTGATAATTATTAATTCAGAATTTCGATTGACTTGCTGAATTTTGGCTATGTTACTAATCTATTTAAAATATACTTGCAATGCCAGATTCTTCACAATGTTGAAGAAATTCAAGAGTACTCATAACTTCATATGCCGTTTTATTTTTTACTAGTGAGTACTTTTTTTTTTTATTTTCTTAGATACACTCTTTTTGTTGTGAATATTTCTATTAATTAAAATAAATAAATTTAAAATCAATATATTTAATAAGTTGAAAAATCGTCATAATTTTTATCTTTTAAAATATACTGTACATAGCTTATAAATTCTTTCTAAATGTTCAGTTGCATTAAATATCAGAAATTTTTCTGCCAAATATTGATCTAAGCCTAAAATAATAATATTTAAAAATATAAGTTTAGTAGATTAAAATTAAAATTTTATAAAAATATTATGTACCTAACGCTTGATCCTGATGCTCATCCGCTAAAATACATCCAATACCATGTCTGTGAACATGTTGGAATTCAATTGAATGTCTACAATCTTGTTCGACGTATATAAAAAGTTCTTCAAACAATTTTTTATATGTGCTTGCCGTTTGAAAAACTGTAAAAGTACGTGTGAACACTAAAGCTTTTAAATAAGAAATTTTATATTATAACCCTTTATAAATATAATAACACTTATAATAATTAATTTTTTACCTACTTTTTTGAAAATTTTCAATATATGCACACACTTCCTATTTGTTAATCGGTCTGTGTACACGTTTAAAGCTCATATCTATTTCGAAATATAAAGAATTGGACAAATGTTTCATTTGATTTTTACAGCCACATAATACCAAATATTGCCCGTTATTAAAAAAGCCTAAAAAAAATTTTTTTTAGTATGAATCTAATTAAGTATAATTACATTTAACTATTGATATAACGAATGCCTTACACCAGATTTACCGGTTTAACAAACAAAATTTGAAGTTAGAGATTGTGCCTGTCGAGAAAAGTTCTACCCAGGTATTATTAAATTATCCGGTTATCCGGGTAATTTATTATATCATAAAATAAAAATATCTACCCGGGTATAATCTCTATTTGAAGTATCAGATTTTTAATAGAAAATTTGGCTATATTTAGATATTGTTACTTATGGACAGATCTAATATAAGAATCATTTTTGCTTCCTTCTTTTTGTTTTAAAAGCATATATGCGACGCCCATGATATCTTGACCATATGAATGTTTAGCATGGCGTTTTGTTGTAATCATATGATCAATTTTTGATCTATTATTTAACGCTGGATGTAATTCAGAAAGTGGAACTCCTTTAAGAAATTTATGTATTGATGTGACTAATGAAATTTAACAAAAAAGAAATTATTATTAAACCTTACGAATAAATTAAATTACACTTGTTGAAAAATACATATGAGTAATTAGTTTCTTAACCGTTAAATCTAAAATATTTTCTTCAGAAATTATACTTTTTAAATTATTTTGGATTGCAACCGGTATTTTAGATGGTGGCGGCGGTAGATGATTATGAGTATATCGAGACATAATTATAATATATAAACATTCTTCGAGATTTTCAGGTATGTAATGCCAAAATTTAACAGGATACCCTAGTTGTTTTTGAATTAGTCCTTGTGCTATTTCATTATTTTCAGTAACATGAACATAAGCTACACACATACGTATATTAATATAAGTAAATCTTAATAAACAATAAGTTAATTAACACATATTTAATAATATAAGGGAGGGCTGGTATTATAGTATAAGTATTGTAGTACACTATTTTTTGGCAATATCTTACGACCACTGATCAAAATTATACAGTTTTAGTACTATTCGATTCGCCTTTCTAGGAGGAATTGAATAATATGAAAATTATATTTCTACGCTATTTTTTTTTTTTCTCTATTTAGATAGCTGAGAAAATGATCAACGTTCTATTATACATACGTATTATAATACGAATATCATAGTGTACTATAATACTTATACTATAATACCAGCCCTCCCTTATATTATTAAATATGTGTTAATTAACTTATTGTTTATTAAGATTTACTTATATTAATATACGTATGTGTGTAGCTTATGTTCATGTTACTGAAAATAATGAAATAGCACAAGGACTAATTCAAAAACAACTAGGGTATCCTGTTAAATTTTGGCATTACATACCTGAAAATCTCGAAGAATGTTTATATATTATAATTATGTCTCGATATACTCATAATCATCTACCGCCGCCACCATCTAAAATACCGGTTGCAATCCAAAATAATTTAAAAAGTATAATTTCTGAAGAAAATATTTTAGATTTAACGGTTAAGAAACTAATTACTCATATGTATTTTTCAACAAGTGTAATTTAATTTATTCGTAAGGTTTAATAATAATTTCTTTTTTGTTAAATTTCATTAGTCACATCAATACATAAATTTCTTAAAGGAGTTCCACTTTCTGAATTACATCCAGCGTTAAATAATAGATCAAAAATTGATCATATGATTACAACAAAACGCCATGCTAAACATTCATATGGTCAAGATATCATGGGCGTCGCATATATGCTTTTAAAACAAAAAGAAGGAAGCAAAAATGATTCTTATATTAGATCTGTCCATAAGTAACAATATCTAAATATAGCCAAATTTTCTATTAAAAATCTGATACTTCAAATAGAGATTATACCCGGGTAGATATTTTTATTTTATGATATAATAAATTACCCGGATAACCGGATAATTTAATAATACCTGGGTAGAACTTTTCTCGACAGGCACAATCTCTAACTTCAAATTTTGTTTGTTAAACCGGTAAATCTGGTGTAAGGCATTCGTTATATCAATAGTTAAATGTAATTATACTTAATTAGATTCATACTAAAAAAAATTTTTTTTAGGCTTTTTTAATAACGGGCAATATTTGGTATTATGTGGCTGTAAAAATCAAATGAAACATTTGTCCAATTCTTTATATTTCGAAATAGATATGAGCTTTAAACGTGTACACAGACCGATTAACAAATAGGAAGTGTGTGCATATATTGAAAATTTTCAAAAAAGTAGGTAAAAAATTAATTATTATAAGTGTTATTATATTTATAAAGGGTTATAATATAAAATTTCTTATTTAAAAGCTTTAGTGTTCACACGTACTTTTACAGTTTTTCAAACGGCAAGCACATATAAAAAATTGTTTGAAGAACTTTTTATATACGTCGAACAAGATTGTAGACATTCAATTGAATTCCAACATGTTCACAGACATGGTATTGGATGTATTTTAGCGGATGAGCATCAGGATCAAGCGTTAGGTACATAATATTTTTATAAAATTTTAATTTTAATCTACTAAACTTATATTTTTAAATATTATTATTTTAGGCTTAGATCAATATTTGGCAGAAAAATTTCTGATATTTAATGCAACTGAACATTTAGAAAGAATTTATAAGCTATGTACAGTATATTTTAAAAGATAAAAATTATGACGATTTTTCAACTTATTAAATATATTGATTTTAAATTTATTTATTTTAATTAATAGAAATATTCACAACAAAAAGAGTGTATCTAAGAAAATAAAAAAAAAAAGTACTCACTAGTAAAAAATAAAACGGCATATGAAGTTATGAGTACTCTTGAATTTCTTCAACATTGTGAAGAATCTGGCATTGCAAGTATATTTTAAATAGATTAGTAACATAGCCAAAATTCAGCAAGTCAATCGAAATTCTGAATTAATAATTATCAGAATTTCTTAAAATTTTACTAATAAAGTGATGGCCTGTGTACCAGATAAGTAAATTAGAGGATCCACCAAAATTCAGCAAATCGGCCCGAATTTTGGTCGGAATTAGCCAGAATTAATAAATTTTTTCTAAAATCACCCACAATTTTACTAATAAAGTGGTAGCCTATATACTAAGTAAAGCTGCCCAAATGATAATTTTGTTATAATATAGTCAACCAGTATTATTGCTTAATACCACTTTGCTCCGGCTCATCTGACCCTAAATTCGGGCCGATTTGCTGAATTTTGGTGGATCCACTAATCTATTCCAGATTTTCAGATAAAAAATTGTCCAAATGCTAATTTGGCTATAATATAGTTGGCTAGTATTATTGCTTAATACTGGTCTAGCTTTAGCCTTTTTTTGATCGACTTGTTGAATTTGGGTTGCTTGACTAATTTATTCTATATATATTTTATAATTATATCAATATATAATAATTAAATCATATAAATTTATTAAGTTATTTTATTTATTTTATTTTAAACTGGATTTAGGATAAGAGACAACCGTGGGTACTTGCAAGTTTGTCACCAGCATTCACTAAAATATCACCAACTATTTGGGCCAATACACCATTTACAACAAATGCAAGAAAATTAGCCTACGCAAATATTAACAGAAATGGTTACGGATTATCTTTATTGGTGGCTATTCAAAAGTAAGTTATATTTACTGCATATTAGCTATATATTTATAATGTTAATGTTTTATACAGACTGGTATTTAAAAATAGAGCAAGTGAATTTGATCGAAGTTAATGGAGCTCTGCTCATACATATGAAAGAACTAATGTATCTGATTTTTATCGGGATAAATCATCCTTGCAAAAAACAGTCGAGGCGGCTAAAAAAAACTGTATGTATTATATTATTATATATATCAAAAAGTTAAGAATTAATTATTATTATTATTTATT